CGTCCTGATACGATGAATCTCTGAAAAAATACCTTAGTCGGAGGTCCATTGAACATACAGAACTAAAATCACCATTTATGACGGAGCAGAAAGCTTTGACGACAGTTGAGTGCTCTCACGCCGAACTTTTGCAAAATAAAAAATAAAAGGCTATTTTTCATTCGTGAGTACATAGTTGACTCACATTCGACCTGTGTAAGACACATACCTGCGAAGGCCTTTGCATCATCAGTGCGAACCATCCTCAGGTAGTCTTTCGAATCGGTCTCATTTCCAACAAGCATGATAACGATGTTCGGCTTTCCGCTATCACGAAGCCCTTTCAACCACCGCGTCACGTTCCCGTGCGATGCTCCGTTCGTGATATCGTATGCCAACAGAGCACCGACAGCGTCATAGTAGTAACCGATGAAGCCTAAACAATGACAAAACGCAGAGTGGCTGCATACCATGAGGAAAAATCGCGTCGGAACGCTCCAAGCCTGCAGTATCATATATACATCCCTTCGCCCACTGAAAAAGGCCATCCAGATTTTTAACCATGAAAATTTTGTGGTCGAGGCCAAGATGCCAATCAGGCCCTTCTCGGTGAATTTATGCTGCACGAGCTGTAAAAGGACCAATGTACGTAAGGGCCTGTGTGAGCTAGGGAAGAACAAGAAACATAGTTACGATTTGCCAACTCCCGAGTCACCAATTAGAACAAGCTTGGAGAACTGAATAACGCAGCATAGACGATTGTATGGATGGAGGCTTCACTTTACAGCGGCATATGGTAATAGCACTGCATCGTTGTATCATTTAGGGGCTCATAGCACTTATCAGGCAGCTGAGTTTGAAAACTTGTGAATTGATGACTCTAGAGTTATCGAGTTCGTTTGCACTTCATAACTTACTATGAGGTGCAAGCGAACTCGACTCAGATTCCTGGAGTACTAGTAATCCCAAAATACTTGCCATCAAACGCACGCTGACAAGATGGAGTTTCTGTCACATCGGGAAGTTCTTGACCAAGGCATAGATAGTAAGTTGGCGAACAATAATATTAATTAAAAGGTCCGGGATGATCGATGATCGGAGACCACAGAGTCCTGGAATAGGGTCCTGAGGAGACTAGTACTATCTCCTTATATACTGGCTGGCTGCACCGGGTCTCCTAATGACGCCCACATCGATTAACTTAACATTTAGCAAGAAGAGCATGAAAGTGCTCCGTAAAATCCTTGCATTGTCCTTCTTGCGTCCAATCTCTCTTGTCAGCGTGACGCCGACAGAACCGTACATCCATAGGCTGCCGGCGGAACTTCTACGACAAATCTTCTTGTTCATCGTTCACAGTGCGCCAGACTCGCCGAGTATCTTTTCATGCGGACGTTACACTATTTCGGCCAACGTTTCCAGCCCTCCCCTAGTCTTGACCAGGGTGTGCCATCTTTGGCGAGTTGCTGCACTTTCAACAGCAGGAGTCTGGTCGCGCATCCAAGTCGTGCTCCCCGGGCAAGTTAGATCATTCGGACCATTTCTTCCACATCTTCTCCAGTGTTGGCTTGCTCGCTCTGGTAGTTTGCCCCTCACCCTTCACATTGTTAACAGTACCCCATGCCACAACTTCACTTGCGCCAATCGTAATCACTACCCCTGGATAATAACACAGACAAATGCTCGACTTCTCAATATCCTCCTTTCTGAGAGCAAGCGTTGGGCAACGGTCGTTATGCCACACCCGTGTGACTGGGGTTTCAACTTCAACACACCTCAGTTGAGAGCCTTAGAATGTTGTTCTTCAAATGATCTCAGCAAATTCTATGCACCAAATATTTCTCGCCTATACATCAACACTCACTGTTATCTGGTCTCCCCAATGAGACTGCGCATCCCCTTTTACAAAGATCTACGTCATCTCCACCTCCGGGACGCTTCCGTGTTTGCCTTATGCTCCACTATAGCCGATTTCCCTCATCTGGAGACTATCGCGGTTGATGAAATATACCTGGTCAATATTCCTGCCGCCAGAAGTTATTCAGCAACACTTGAGTCGATGACCCTCCCCCTCCCCTCCTCGCGTCTCCGGCAAGAGTTGAAAGGCCTGTTCGGCCTCCTTCATCTTCCCATTTTCCGGAAATTGACAGTGGTTGGAACACCAAAAAAACGACAAGTTAATCATCTTTTGTCGATGCTAGCGGTGGCATCTTTCCGGGTGCCAGTGGTAGATTTTCAAACGGACGCACCGTTGAAGAAAGCTCACATGAGCCGGATTGAGTCGTTGCTCTCAGTTGTAGGAGAGGTCACTTTTTGTGGGTAAGTGCTTCGCTATCTCGACTCATGCAATTTGAACCTTGCCTTGTCTAGAAACGTGCTTCAGTTCGATGAGAATCGGAATTCGCGACGAAGGGGGAAGTTGAAGCTACGTTACTCGAGATAAGTATACACATACGAAGTACACGCCGATGAATTCTACCATATCTTGAAGTTAAGTTCCGCATCGAGTTCGAGCAATGTAACCAGTCAGATCCCCGTCTTGGGCGAATTTGCCTTATTCTCTGCCTTTTCAATATTGGCACAGTGCCTTCCAACTAGTCAATAGCCCGAAGAGGCAGTCAATCTCATTAACGACAGCTGTCAACATATCATGCTGAAGAGCCTCCCTCGAAACGGAAGACTTCTTCTACGTCCTATTTGCCAAATTGTTCAAGGAAGCGAAAATTCCCTGTCTACAAAGCAGACTCACCGTCCACCAAGGGATTTCCTTTCCACTCCCAGATGCGCCGTCATTAAAGCTTTCCTGCATACTATCTGTGAGCCTCCACCACCTCTGCGTCTCCTCATCCTCTCCAATAGCTTTCATATCTTTCTCAAAGTCACTGCCTGTGTACTTGAAGTTTGCGATGAGCAAATTCAACGGTGGATAATGGTTGATTGAGTAGTCCACGATGTGGTACCGTCTAAGGGCGTTGAGGACGCCAGGCCAGACGTTCCTGTGGACCTCTTTGTACGCGTCCGCGCATTCTGGTTTGAGCTGTGATGAACGGTCAGGGGGTTTGGACATTTATTACAGAAAGCGAGAACCTGTACGCACCTTGATTATCTGGCAAATACGCTTGGTATGTGGAGTAGACATGGAGGGAACCACTGAAACCTTGTAACAAGGCGTTAAGACCCTTGATGCCGCCAATTAGCAACCAATCAGGCCAACTGAGCATCGTGACTACGGGGTCGGCCCGGTGGTAGCTAAAGCAGGTAGGGGCACCGGCCTCCTAGTTTTGTGGGAGATGAAAGAGAGAAGCGGCAAGACAGACAATTATACATAGACTGGTAGTACATCTAGTATGATCTCCCTCGATACGGGCATAAAAATGTCACATCTGTCGGTGGACAACAGCCTCGTAACACTGGAACGACCTAAAATAAATACTTATCAGTCTCCAATCAGACACTGTATAACAGAAGTCACATCATCAAGTCAAGGATCACTGTGACGGCGGGAACAACTTCAAGCCTCTTGCTGTCACTTTCGAACTCCGACCACTGCTTGTACTTTTCAACGACCAAGACTCCTTCGTACATAGAGCTCTTTAACCGTTCAACGTTCCCAAGAACTCGATATGACCGAATATGATTTTCTCTTCAAGGTCCGTAGTCACTCATGCACATGGTTTCCACGGCACTTACCAGTTTCCGCTCTACAGGTTGTTCTAATTGGTGACTCTGGAGTTGGCAAATCGTAAGCATGTTTCAAGTTCCGTTCATCGTTTCCTAGCTCACAGTAGCCTACAGAAATCGTAAGGAATAGTGTATTTATCAGGGGACGCGCGACCACTCATATACATCACCCAGTTCTCTCGCGATTCACTCGTAATGAGTTCAACCTGGAGTCGAAATCAACAATTGGTGTCGAGTTCGCGACCCGCTCGATTACTGTCGACGCTAAGACGGTGAAAGCACAGATATGGGATACTGCAGGCCAAGAGCGTTACCGCGCGATCACCTCTGCGTATGTGATCACTCTCCGCAGTTAGAGTTCACTGTTGAGGCTAATGTGTCTACAGGTATTACCGTGGTGCTGTTGGTGCTCTGTTGGTGTACGACATTGCTAAACATGCAACGTACGTCAACGTGACGCGGTGGTTGAAGGAGCTCCGGGATCACGCTGACTCGAACATTGTTATCATGCTTGTTGGAAACAAGAGTGACTTGAAACACTTGAGGGCAGTTCCCACTGAGGAGGCAAAGTCTTTTGCAAGTATGTCTGACACGAATCGACTGTGACTGAATCGCTCAGGTACTGATTTTCTGACAGCGGAGAACGAACTTTCGTTTATCGAGACTTCGGCGCTGGACGCATCAAATGTCGAGTCAGCTTTTCAAACCATCCTTACGGGTACTTTTTGGTCTCTGCATGAAATGGCGTTTTACTGACGTGTTCCCAGACATCTACCGGATCGTCTCAAGCAAGTCGCTTGAGCAGTCTGCTGACCCCATCAAGGGACCCACTAGTGATACTATTCCTGTAGCGATTGACTCATCTACACCTGCAACAGGTAGCAAGTGCTGTTAGATGGTGCTGCTGTTACGTTTTGTCGCTGTAGCCTTTGCTGTAGCAATTGGGCGGGTGTGTCTGTAGTTCAGCGTGTATAGTTACATTTTTTCTTCCTCTTAATAGGACTCTGCTTTGTGTACCCTCGAGACGGTCGTGGTGAAGGAAACAATGACAATTGCTAGCTGTTCTTCCACGAAAAAGGCAAAAAGGTTTGCGAGCAGCACGACCCACAGCGCGTCTGATGACATGCCCTGATCTCCTACGACTAACTCGGCAGATCCTGCAGGTTGCGGAATTGCTTCCCTGGCCAATCAAGGACCGATTATTCCAAGTCCGATTACACCTTTCGGCGCAAGGAACGTGTGGACACCAAGTTTTCTGGAGGGGACAGTCTTGAACCAGCGCACTCATGGGTTGGATCGCTGGAAAGAACTATCTCGCATTCCCGGTTTAGGGCCACTACAGCCGCTTCGCCATTGTACCATGCTTGGTTACCTTTCAATTAAAATATCGACATGACAATATTTCATCCACTTCATGAATTGTCGTTCTGCCATCCACGATCCACATCCACTGCCCTGGCATGATATATAAACAGTAGGCATTTCCTCTGCATCTTCATCACCTCTTGCTCATTATCACATCATGCAGTCAACTCAGACTAAAAACTCTCCTTCGAAGGAGTTCGCACACCCCGTTCTGCATGACACTCAGTTCACCACGATCGCGCCCTCTCAGAGCTTTGCTCATTATTCACCTAGATTACCAAGTAGTGACGAACTGCACGCAAGCGTTCCTGACGCGTTTGCTTTTCACAAACAGGTACGAGAATCGTTCTTTGTACTTGGGATGCAAGCCGAACACATGGTGCAGGTCCCTGGCCCCGCGCAATATGATTTGGAAGAGGACTCCAACGACATTAATGGCAACATGCACTATGTGCCTTACGATCTGCTATACGCACCACGACCCATGCCCGCTAACTTCAATAGCATACTTGCACGCGATGACTGTGCCACTCCGATCCCTTGGCAAGACCGACCGACTTTTATTTTTACCCCAACTCCAACCGGATCGAACAGGACGGCCCTGCGAGCCGCTCCCCCTGCGCCATTTGCCTTCTACATACAGAGAGAATATATCGAGGTGGAAAGTATCATACCGAAGATGATCCACCAAAAGCTCGTCGATATCCACGGTATGCCAATGTACCCGCCGCCTTTCTTTGACATGCCAGACACTCGACTATACTCTCAATTCATCAGCAACTTCTGCCGGCACAAGGACGCTGTCACCTGCCGCTACTACTCTACAGTCCCTCGAAATCCATGCTTTCCTGATGACCTGGACTGCCCGAGGATCTATCCCATCAAGCTCTTGAATCAGCTTCACAAACACCTTGAAATATACAAGGACGCGTTTCCGGAGCCACTTCCTATAGTCATAATTCGGAACAGCGAGGTCATATGTATGAATCCACCATGTTGGTATATGTATGGCGTAATCGTGCATGTTCCCCCGACGGAACATCCCAACACCGAGAATCTAGAAGACACTCTATGGTCCATGACTCTTAAGCGCGGCGTTTCAGCTTTATACAGGCCATATTCAGGAGGTCAACCGAGTGTGGCCACGTCTCCGGTTCAATTCGGTAATATGATCTACTCCGCCGAGGAACTAACATATTTCAACTTCGCTGTCAACGTGTTCATGGAGGTTCCGAGCTTCCCAGGGTCTGGGGTGAAGGAACCTGAAGCAGCGTATAAAGGTGCATTTATACTTAACGTTCTTGATCACCCTATGGACCCAGCATGTTGGGCTGAACTTTCCGAGGACCGGAAGATGGACATATACGGGCGTGCACCTCAGCTGTTCGGTGACGTTCCTACTTTCTCGAAGTGTCCGAACTTTCCGGCTGTCAATCTGCACTTCCAGAATTGGGATATGAATCTCCTTGGCGTCCTGGATGATCTCAAGTTTGGGACGGTCGACGACAGTCTTGATGCCGGCCAGTGCAAGGAAGAGGAACTAGGATCAGTGCTGGACTGGACGAGTGATTCTCTGTGAAACCTGTTAACGACATTTCACAGCTGTCACTCACAATTCTAGTCGACCCTGTGTTGACGTTGCTTATGGTCGTGGTTTGACCATTATTATTGTGCATGTTTATTTGATGCTCCAAACCCTGTTGACCGGCCGCGCTTTGTATGGTATGAATAAAATTGATATTGTCAATGATCATTTCCTTGAACGTTTTTTTGCTGTCCTTGTATATTGTCGGTGGCTGCAGCGCTGGAGAGTTTGCTTATACGCAAAACGATGAAATCCCTAATTAGTGAATGTCTGGCGTGGCCTGTGTGATCGTTCCGAAATCCGATTGCCAGCTAATATTGCCGGCTTACCGTTCAAGGGCGTGTCAGAGGCTCGAGCGCTGAGCCGAAAGTGATGTCTCAGGACTTCTTCTGCTTACCTCCTGCAACCTTGACTTTAACGTTAACCATTCCTTGACTCCGTCATGTCTCTCCAGCCATTCATATCCTTGTATCGGTATGCTCTCGAACCCATAGCACCTTTCAGCTGGTTTGGTATCAAAGTCTGCTCCATTGAGCTGGTAGCCGCCTTGCGGCTTTGCACTGCCCTGAGGCAGGCCAGGGAAGATTTATATGCCAAGTATCAGCACCGCGCTGGCGATAAACAGTCTGTGGAGGAGAGGTCCTTCCTAAGAGACGCATGTACCTCGCTCACGGTCAAGTTTGGAGGAGAGGCCATCATAAGTACTTTACCGACTCGAATCCACGCTATACATACTGACTACTCTCCACGTTTGATCAGGCTCTCTAATCGGTGTTCCTCCATCTTTCGTGCTCTCAGGTGTCCCCCCCGGCGTGTACATCGCCGCACAGGCGATTGTAGAGTATATCCCTGCTATACCGCCCATGTCGCTCTTCACTGAGCTTCCGCTATCTATTGTCGACGGATTCACTCGAGCGTTGCTTCTCTGCAGCCTGATACCTAAACCCATTATCACCCATGCTTCCCCTGTTATCGCATCTTCCCCATGGACTCTTTTGCTCTCCTCTCTCGTACGTTGTCCCTTCCTAATCGTGTCTCAATCTCTCTAACTCCCTTTGCCTACAATAGGTCATTGCTAATGGAGGCATCTTCATAACCAGCATGTTCTCCTTCCTAGAGCCTACCCCGCTCACACTTACGACTCCCGCCGCGATCAAGCCCTACGGCTGGACGACTACGGACCTCTGGTGTGCCCCGTTCATCACGGGGCTCTATGCCCTCCTTACGCAAGCCCAGCCATTCTGGACCGAGCTCCACACTGTCATCTCGACCGTCCTCGGAAACACGGGCGATAAAGTCGGTCCTATGGACCCAGAGGCCGCCCGTGCGGTGTGCGCGCTGATTCTTGCGGGAATGTTTACCACCCGGACTGCGAAGAACTATGGGCTTGTTTGGAAGAAGGGTGAGTTCCATTAGTCGATCTTATTCTGGATCAGTATTGATGGCATGTGCAGGTGTTGCTGAGAAGATCAAGATACAGTGAATAACTAAAGGGATACTGGTTTTATACACTCCGAAGATGTAGATGTGCACGAAATTTATGAATGAGATATCCCTGTTCTACCACCACCAGTTGTCGTGACCGCACAGATGTGTGTTACCACGCAGCACATGCTGGATGAATGGCAAGGCGGAACGATCATGGGAAAGTGCATACCTGGGTGTCACTATAAGAAAGGAGCCGACGTGCTTCTTCAGCCACTCTTCCTATGCTTTGTATTGCTCGAGTATGGTCTTAAAAGACCAGAACCGAGCTTTCATATTATAGCCTCCACTCACGAGCAGTGCTCCAGTGATGTGGGAAATTACAACACAGTAAACCCGCGCGGTAAATGGAGGGGGTATACTTATGACCTCTTGATACGTATCTCAATGACTTTTCCATATATAGTAGAAATGCGACAGGGTTAGGGTCTGATTGGTCAGAGCACAATCATGGCTGGGTAAACTTACAGCCATGTCCCCCACACCTGTGAGATAATTAACAGGAGACTGTCTTCAAGCCATATGCTAACCAACAAAAATTACACAGGAGATAATGTTGAGTGGATAAAGATGGGAAAGAGGCAATATGTGGCATGTCAGGAAGCACCATGTCAAAATTAGAAACTCTGAAACTCCTCATTGCCTGTGACAAAGTGTAGTCATCATTGTGAAAATAAAATAAAATAAAATAAACTCCACATGGTCACAAATTGGCACCCTGGTATGAAAATTTAGAAGTGAAATTGAAACTTACCTTACAAGTTACCTTACTGTGAAATGTACATGTATGGACTAAATGCAGAATCAACCAGAGCAAGGTAAATAGTCAGCAATGCTGACCCCTAGTAGCATATGACCTTGCAAGCAAGATGACCACAGTGCCATCTCATCTCTCATGATCTCTTGGTATCATGCTCTGGACATTTCTGACCAGCCCAAATAAATAATGGGATTCCGCATAATTATGAAAAGCACTGTAAACTCCACTTGAATCTACACCACCAACTGCTGCATTGGGCTGTAGAGAGATAGTGTGAAAACCATTTGTAACACCTTGGCAACAGGCCAATATGAGTTTGAATAGAGACTTAGTACATAAATACATAAATTATGGTGTAAAGCCCATAGATCCAATGCTTATCAAAGGGTTTTTTTCCTGCCTGGGTAATAGATTGGTTATAGCTTATAATTGGTCCAATCCCAGACTCGTCCATAGATCTAAATATTAAACCTATGGTATACCTATGAAAAAGCTTGCATGAACATCCTGTCCAAGAACTCTATAATGAGCTCTAAGTTTGCTGAGCTAGCATCTGTGTTATGAACTAGGATGGTTCAAAACAGTCAAAGTTCAAAAGGGAACATTCAGAGACTGAATTCTCCTTCTCAAAAGGAAGAAGGTCTAAGACTAACAACAAGGAGTGCTTGCTATTAGAATATCGGTTCAGACGACTAAGGATTGGAGGTCCTTAGTGAAAGATCAGGTAAAACCTGGTAAGATTCGGCAAGTAAAAAACTACAATGTATAGAGTTGCCTATTTATAGTGAATAGCTAGGAGAGTTTAGGGCAGGCATGAGTAAGTAACAATACAAGTGAATGCCTAATAAGGATGAATGCAATGGGATCCAAAAGTGGTAAGTAAGGAGATAACAGGATGAGATCATCTAATGACAGCAAGTAGCAATCATGATGTAATACAATGTGAGATAAGGGAAACAAAAGAATAGGGGTGTACATTGATTGTAACAATCTGTATTCTACACAAAATACATTTGGTTCTATTTACCTAAGCAGTGTGAATGCAAATACATTATATAGAACTTGAATTTCACAAGAACTGCTTTCTGCAAAATACATGTCACACTACAATAATTGCTAGACAGTAGAGACTGATTAGGACTTGGCACAAAGACTTAGT